CACCGCGCTCGGGCCCCCGCGCTCCGCAGGCCTGGCTGCCTCGCTGGCCGCCCCCAACTCCTCCTCCTCCTCCTCCCGCCCCGCCGTCTCGGAAGCCGCCGCGGCGCAAGGCGCTGACGTCACCTCGTGGGCTAACACCCGCCCCGAGGAGGCGGAGCTCAACGCGCATTGGCCCGTAGGCCTGCCGACTGTATAGCATCGCTAGCACGCCCTCGGCTGCCCTTCCGGGAGCCGCACCCGGATACAACCTCGCCATTGGCTGACAGACCCATCTTGCCTAATCTGATTGGCTGGCACAAACACTGACCAACCCCACTGAAACATCGACTTCCGGCAGCACCTGACAGGCACTCTGTGCAGGTGCACACCGCTCGGAAATAGGTGTGTAGATGCTTGTTACACGCATTTACGGAATCTTGCTATGGTACGAAAACCCGTGGCTTTGGTGTCTACTGGTCCAGCCAAACCAAGCCCCCCATCGGCTTCGCTTCTGACTCCCAGGTAGTTGCCTGGCCGTCCCGAGCCTGGGCAAGCTCACATCCAGCAGCTCCTCAGCTAGCCAGACCTTCACACCCACTGCCTTTCTTCAGATCGGTTGTGGGGCTTGAACTCAGCCTGGGCGCTGTCCCAGTTCTCTAGCTCATGGTAGCACCCACACCACTTTGAGCCACAGCTCCACTTCTAGTTTGAGGAAACTAATTGGAGCTAAATCTCAGACTTAGGATGGCGCTGCACCACTAGGATTACAGGGCGAGTTGAGCCACTAGCACCAGCTTCTCACTACCATTCTTATAGCCAATAAATGTAGCAACGAGTCCTGTGTCCAACTGAAAATACTTTCAGGCAGCTTTCCTAATTTTAATGTTACAGTATATAATGTACAATGATGTATCAGTTTTTAAGATTATTTTTTTGGTCAGTCATGGACCTGGGCGCTGTCCCTCAGTTCTTCAGCTCAAGGCTAAGGCTCTACCACTTGAGCCACAGCGCCACTTCTGGCTTTTTTTTCTGCTTATGTGGTGCTGAGGAATCAAACCCAGGACCTCACGCATGCAAGGCAAGTGCTCTATCACTGAGCCACCTTCCCAGCCCCTTAAGACTTTTGTCTAATCTAAAAGCTCAGACTGGCAATGGCAAACATGCATACACTGAAAATTCCCTTTCTGGGAAACCTTGGGGGTGAAGAGCAGACCTGGGCCCCTGGAGGCACTGCAGGGTGTTGGTATGACTCCTGCCATCCATCTGGATGGGAGCTGTGTGGGGGACTCTAGCCAGCTTCCCTATCCATGCTGCCTTTGACAGTTCCCCCAAATCCAACCCTCCTCCCCCTGCAGAGGCGTAACAGGTGCAGAAACAAGTCAAAGCATGCCCAAGGTCACCACCATCGTATTTATTATTCCAATGGCACAAGTACAGCTGGAGGTGGCCATGGTGTCAGCACAGGGGAACACCTGCCCACCTGTTCCTTCTAGGGAAAAGCCACTTTGGGCCATTTACCCAAATAAACCTTTAATGTATTTATTTTAAAATTTGGGATATCTGAATTTGAGTTTCCCTCTGATGAAATGATAAAGCACTGGGTGTCCTGCCCACCTCCCCACCCCATCGGGCTATGAACGTCCCTGCAGAAAAGGGTATTTCTGCTGCCTCTGGAACCCCAAAATAAATAGAGGGAAACAGCATCAAGTGTTAACGCAGAGTGATGGCACAGAGTGGGCCCCAGAAACCTTGGGCAGAGCGCCACTGTGGGGACAGTCTCGAGATGTCATCTGAGAGAACGCGGGCATGGTGCAGTGGTCAAACCGGTGTGAGTGCTGAGCCGAGTCCCGCCAGGCAAGGAAGGAAGAACCACCTACAACTTGTCCAAGAAGTTGTCCAGGGCTGGGATGCCCTCCTTCAGGCCTTTGCGCTTGCGGGTCTCCGCCACCACCTGGCTGGGGCGGCTGCTGTTATCGAAGGGGTCTCCAGGCAGGATCTGCCAGTGGTCGAACACGCACTGTGGGAAGGCCTGGCCCCCAGTGTTGGACCTCAGGTCGGCAGTAAAACCTGTCAAGAATGAAACAAGGAGGGTCTCACCAGATAGTCCCAGCAGTCAAAGTCCTGCCAGAACCCTGGCCAGTCCCTGGGTGGGTAGAGGGCAATGAACTTCCTGATCACCAAACTCAGTGAGCCCAGAGACGTGAATCTCAACAGAAAGCTTCCGGTAGCCACATCTGTCCACCCCAGCCTGGGCTATTTTAAGACCTGGTCTCAAACAAGGGCTGGTAGTTGATCTTGGGTTCATCTCAGTCCTTCCTGCATCCAGCATAGGACCCAACCCTACTACCTGGACTCAGTCTTAACACCTCCCTCTAGTCCCACAAACATGGACTTACCAAAGGACTCATTGACAGGCAGGTAGGCCTTGACCACAAACATGGGGGTGCCAGCCACCTGGGATTCTTCAAACACGTGGCCTCGTTTCCTGTTCAGGACTCCATAGATGCCACCAACTACTTGCTCTGGACACTGAAGTGAGAGCAAGAGGCATCAGTGGCTAGAGTAAGGTGTCAGGGGCAGGGTTGGGGCTGCGGCATGCCGTCTGCCTTACCTGGATCTCCACAAGGTAGATGGGCTCCATGAGGCGTGGCTGGGCAGTGAGCACACTGGCATACAGGCAGCGGCGGGCCGTGGGGATGATCTGGCCGCCGCCGCGGTGGATGGCGTCGGCATGCAGTGTCACATCGTGGACGTCAAAGCGAACACCCCGCATGTTCTCCTCACACAGCGCCCCCTGGGGCAGGAGGAGACAGCCTGAAAAACCAGCCCTCCCACAACAGCCTCAACCCCAATCTTGGCCTTCCACTGCTGGTCCTGCCTGCACGACTCCCAGCTCACCTCCTTGGTGGCCCACTGGAAGCCAGCCACCACACTGTCCTTGATTTCATTGAGGTACTGCACACCCTTGGTGATGTCAGTGAGAATGTTGGGGCCAGTGCCATCAGGTCCAAAGCACCAGATCTTACGGGCTTCAGCCACATCCCACTCGTACTTCTCGGCCAGGTAGCGTGCCCGCTGTTTGAGCTCCTGGCGAGCGGACACCTCCCCCTTGTCGATGTCCTCGGCCAGACCATCAGGGAAGGGCCGTGCCTTCATGTACAGCCGGTTGTGCTTATTGGGGGACTTGGACAGGCACAGCACGTTCGACTCCTCACTGACTGTCTCCCGGTATGAGACCACGGGGTCGGATTTCTGGGAAAGGAAATCATGGGTCACTGAGGGGACTTCACAAGGAGGGTGCAAAGGGCACGGACAACGCTGGGGACACAACAGCTTGTAGGAGCATGGACACAAACCATCCAGCACATGGCCTGCCCTGACCAACCCTGGCAGGTACACAGTGGCCACACCAAGGAAAGATAGAAAGCCTGCATGTGGCTGTGATTGCCAAGGAGGAATGGCCTTTTCCACTACTTTGAGGATCCAGGTTGGCAGGGGCAGTGCCTACCTTGATGGGGATGCAGGCATGGTCCTCCTCCAGGTCCTTGAGGCAGATCTCAAGGTGCAGCTCACCAGCACCTGCGATGATGTGCTCCCCTGACTCCTCGATGATGCACTGTGGGCCAAAGTGCTGTCAGCCTGGCCTGGCCCATGCCCAACACTCACAGCTCCACCAGCCAGTAGGAAAGCTAGATCTCCCTCCAAACAAGGATGCAGTATAGCATGTAGGCCCCCCAACAGGCAGAATAGCACGTAGGCCCCCCAACAGGCAGAAGCTAGCAGGAAGATCCCTGCCTTCATAAATCCCGTCCACATACCTTAAGGCCACAGGCCCACCCTACCCTATGGGCAGCTAAGATGGGGATTAGGGAGGTAGAACCACACCTGCACCATGGGATCCGACTTGGCCAGCCGCTTCAGGCCCTCCACCAGCTTGGGCAGATCAGCGGGGTTCTTGGCCTCCACAGCCACCCTGACGACAGGGCTGACACTGAACTTCATGACACGCATGTTGTGCGCATGCTCGAATGTGGTGATGGTGCCAGTCTTGACCAGGAACTGATCCACACCCACCAGGCCCACGATGTTACCGCAAGGCACATCCTCAATTGGCTCCACATAGCGGCCCATCATCAAAATGGTCCTAGGGAGAAAAAAGCACGTTCTCACACTGCCTTCAAGCCCCAAGGCCCGCAGACTGAAACCATGGCTCCTCACAAACATGAGCATGAGTGCCAGCGATGGACAACATCCCCATAACCCTCTGCAGGTGACCACACCAACCAGGTGTGCACAGACCAAATGAAGGCAAAGGTCATGAGGGTCATGAGATCAGTCATGGACCACCCTGTACTCGGGGACATTTGCATCCCACTGTGAGTTGGGACTAAACCAAATCAGAAAAGATGGGACACTTTAGCTTGCTGGGGTCCTCTGGCTTCCTAGTCTACTAGCCCTTCAGGTGTTGAGACAGAGGTCTAAGAAGACCAAACCCCATCCAACTGTAGCTTGTAGCAAAGGTGCTACCGGCCAGGAGCCCAGGAGGGCAGGCCCAACCTAAGCTGGCCAGGAGCAGGTGCCCATCATCCACTCACCTCTGGATGGGCTTCAGGTAGAGATCCTCCTTCTTCCCAGGGGTATAGTTGGGGCCCATGATCCTGACCTTCAGGCCAGTGGACACCAGCCCTGAGAAGACGCGTCCAAAGGCATAGAAGCGGCCCTTGTCGGAGGTTGGCACCATTTTGGAGATGTACATCATAAGGGGGCCTTTGGGGTCACAGCTTTTAATGCCTAAGGGGAAGAGGGAATGGGAGGGGATTACGTCATTCTCGCCCAGACTCAGCTTTCTGGAGCCACCACCTGAGGCAGGACTCATACCCATGGCAGCCTCATCGTCCGGGGGCCCCTCGTAGAGCAGCTCGCAGCGGTACTTCTGCGCAGTGACGGGCGAGGGCAGATGGATGGTGATCATCTGTAGCAGCGCATCCCCTGCTGGCAGCCAGCGGCGCATCACAGCCTGCACACAGGGCAGGGCTCATGAGGGCCTTGTTTAAGGGCGGTGGCAGTACATGTAACCCTAGTTCCAACTGCTGAATATAGGGACTGCCCCAGCACCTATCCAAAGCTCAAGGTCTCCAGCCACAGCCCAGCAGTACCAGGGAGGATGGGGCTGGCTGCATCCACCACCTTACCTTCAGCAGTGGCTTTCCCTCTTTATCTTTGTCCTCACTATCCAACTTGATGTCTAGCTTGTCAATCAGCTTGGCCGTCTCCTCTTTCTTGAAATTCATGATTGCATCAAACACCTATAGGGCAAGACAAATGGGCTGTGTGGGAAGGCAGAAGAAAGGCTCAGCTGCTGCCCTGGATGGAATGATCCTCAAACAGACCAGAGAACTTACAGACAGGCAAATGCTGCCTGTGGGCCAATTCCTTGCTCCTACAGCCAGGTACACCCAGCTCATGCTCTTAAGCCATGCACACACCTAGCCCACTCACCTTGAAGATGGGATCCAGGATGAGCTGACAGAAGGTGCGGGGTAGTTTCTTCCCATCAGGGCTGGTGGCTGACTTGCTAAACTTGCCATTGGCTGGATCGAAGTACCTGACGGGGAGAGAACCTTGTGCCATGAAGCAGGCTGCAGAGTGTGCACTTGGGCAGAACCGTTAGGGGCACTGACCGGCCACCCCGTGTCCATGCACTGGCCCCAGGCTCACCGGTCACCCCACAGCTTCTTCATCATGTCCTCCACCTTCTTGGCACGCTCAGCAGGACCCAGCTGGCCCTCACCTTTGGCGGCAAACTTGGCCACATACATCTCTGCAAACTGCTTTAGGGTGAAGGCCCAGCCATGCAGGCCAGACCCAAAACCCACAGTGCCAAGGACTGGGTCAATCTGGAAAGCAAAAATGGGAGCTGTTAGGGGATGAAGGGGTTGTAGGCAGCCACCTTCCAAGTCTGTAGGCACCAAGGACTCAGATAATTATGTTTCTTCAAGAGACATCAGGTCAAAGTGAAGAAATTTTAAGTCATCATTTGCGGTGGCCGCTATCCCCAAGCAGGAGGCGGCCAGGGACTTCTTTGCCACCCAGCACCCCACCCAGATCCCTTTCCCCAGCCCACAAACGCACCATGATGTTGCCCATAGGGCCGCTCTCGCCCTCGCCGTAGGTGGAGATGATGACGTTGACGTTCTCCACGATGCGCTGGAAGGTCTGGTAGAGCTCCTCGGGCTCCAGCTGCAGCTCCAGCAGTGCACGGTCCATCTTGTTCATCATCAACACAGGTTTGATCCGTTCTGCAATAGCCTGCCGCAGCACTGTCTCTGTCTGCACACACACGCCTGGGGACCACGGGGTTGGAGGGATCATCTCAGGCCGACAATGTCAGGTCCCAAGACTCCCAGGGCCCAGGGCTTACCAGACACGCAGTCCACCACCACCAGGGCACCATCGGTGACCCGGAGGGCAGCTGTCACCTCAGAGGAGAAGTCCACATGCCCAGGAGAGTCAATGAGGTTGATGAGAAAGCCAGAGCCATCCTTGCTCTGCTTGATGAAATTTAAGTCATTCTCTGAGAGCTCATAGAAGAGGGAGATGGCACTGAGGACAGACAGGGTCAGAGGTGAGCAGGCAACACTGTCAATTACACACCTACTCACCAACAAACCTGAGCTCAGACAAGGACCTTGCCCACGTCATTCATGCTCAAGGTGAGGCCACAAGACAACAGGACAGCCACTCGGGGCACTCCACCCTGTCCCCTCCCCCTAGCAGTAGTCATTACTCATCCCTGGAGAAACACTGCCATCTGGGAAGGCCCTGCCAGGGATGGGAGGCCCCATGATGGGGACTCGTGTCACTCCTCAGAGCAATCACCCCTGATTCAATGCCCTCCCCCTTTGCTTCCTGCTACCCAAGGAAAGATATACAGCAGTAAACCTAGCAAAAAAGCATGTGAATAGACGCACAATGGCAACGTCAGGGCTCTATTCATCCTGTGGATATCTCGGGTGGATCAGATCCCAATCACAGGCAACACTCCACCAGAAGACACCTGACAGCACCCACTGACCCAAGACACCATGCTGCCAAGTCTTACAACCCTACTGTGACAAGAGCGATTTTTCTTGTTCTCCTGGGCTGGCACAGGCTATCAGGAAAGGAGACTACTCGATTAATCCCTGTCATGCCAACACTAGTTCCAAATACTCACCATAACCCAGGCCTTTCCCAACCTGCCAGCCAACCTCACTCCCACAGTCCATAAGCCAGTCCCAGGCCCCCCCCCAGTAGATAAGCACTTTCAAGGCAAAGCAGCCACAGCAGGGTGCCAGTACCTCACATCCCTCCCTGGGAACAAGGGCTCCACCCCTCCAGGGTCCAGAGGGTAGTTGGGTGCTTACGTAGACTTGATGGTGATGCAGCGTTCCTGTTCGTCCTTCCGGGTGTCAGTAAAGCGGGTCTCCCCAGCCCGGGCGGAGGCGATGATGCCAGCTTTGCATACCAGGGAGTCTGTTAGTGTGGACTTGCCGTGATCCACATGGGCGATAACAGACATGTTTCGGATGTTGGCCTTTTTGTCCATGATGGCACGGATCTGGTCTACCGTGAAGTTCACCTGGGAGAAAGGGGGAGGGGGGGAGGGTTGGGGCAGGGCTCAGACCAGCTGGATTCCAGGAAGCCACCCTGGCAGGGACAACGAGATCAATAGGACCTTGCGGACAGGAGGGCCAGCAGTTGGGGAGTCCTTCAACATCCGTCCACCAAGGCGGTCTCTAAACATCCAGTTAAAAAACCACTATCCAACCCTGGAAGCCCAGACAGTAGCCATTCACACTGACAGCCTTTAAATGGAGATGGGGGGCAGAGATCACCCCCCAAGGTGACAGCCGCTTTCCTAGGGACAGTGAGGTGGGGGCAGGCATAAAATAGAACGCTAAAAAGCCTCTTTAAAACCCCAAGGTCACCCGCTCCAGCCTTGGATACCCCATTCTATCAGACAATTGTGGGGCACACTTGGGGTGTGGGCAGCCCTACTGTCCACCATCTACCCTTCTCGGGGTACACAACACGTTCTGGCTGTCGAGGAAGGACAAAATCCCGGGCCAGGGAGACACAGCCAACTACCACTGCCCCCCCCCCCGTCCCCGGCTCCAGATCTTCAGTCTCACTCTCAGGCCGCGAGTTACATAAGGCGCGTTCCGGTGTCCCCGCTCCCACCGCCATCACCGCCCGCCGCCCTGCGCGCCCGCCGCAGCCCGGCCCGGACTCCCCCG